GGGGGCCTGAGCCCCCCATCCTCCTGCTCACCCGTCCCATGCTGCACGCCTGGTGGCCCAGGGTGGGTGGCAGCTCCCAGCAGGGCCACCGTGTGCAGTGGGAGGCCGTTAGCTTTGCTGCTGGAGCTTGGGGGAGAGGGCGGCGGGAGCACGGCCGGGCATTGGAGTCTCTAGTGTCAAACAGAAGGGTTGAGCGCAGGCTGCTGCCTCTCCTGCAGCACAGCCTAGCAGGACACGCCGTCCAGCTGTTTCCTTTGGCGAGGCTTGTCAGGATTTAGACAGATTCGCAGTTCACCCTCTGTTAATTCTGGTTGAAAATTAGTAGAAGAGACTCTATAGAGTGGGATGGGAGGGCGCTGAAGCGGTGCAGGGGGAGGAGCGGAGCCAAACAACTTGCAGGCAGAGCACCAGCCATCACGTGTGCCGGCTTGCCTTTGGAAAGCAGGTTACAAAGCCGACCCCAGCTCAACACAGAGCAATTCTCGGGGCAATTAAAGCTCTTGCAAACCTGGCTGCTGCCTCCTGACCCCGCGTCCTTACACCCAACGTACATGCGAGGGTTCATGTAAGCATCAACCCTCTCTTTCTTTTTTAAGGTTTAAGCTAAAAAATTCTCCCCTGCTGTGTACCCAAAGCTCTGGGGTTTGAGTTGATGTGTGGGAAACCCAGGTTTGGTCAGCAGCCTCTGGTGCCACCTCGGGGCACGTGTGCCAGGGGACAAGGCCACCCCACCGCGGCATTTGCACAGCCGGGGAGGGAGCGGCAGGGCACAGCCAGCTTCAGAAAGAGGAGGCAGCTGCAGGCAGATGTGGCTGAACATCCCCACAGCCAGCCCAAGCGCTCAGGTTTTTTAGGACTCGCAAATGAGGGCTCACAGGCCCTACAGCAAACGAGCCGCAGGGGAAAGGACGGGACGGGGATGCTTTTCCCTACGGGGTTCCCAGGTGGAAAAGTGCAAAGGGCAAAATCTCAGAGGAGAAACTCCTCTGGCTTCTGCTCCCCTGAGAGCTGAAGTGGAGCAGTTGCAAAGGAGTTACACCTGGTTGTAAGCCAAATGTGTGAATTGAAAGAGCCGCCTGGCATCCAGGCTATGAAACCACAGGTGCCTGTGGGAAAGGGAGACGAGCCCTCACCCCCTCAAAAGCTCGGTGCCCTGCCCAAAGCCTTACCTGGGGGATGGCAGCCAGCAGGGAGGAGGGTGTGGGAGCTGTAAGGAGTGAAAGGATGTTTATGCAAGTGGGTAAGTATATCCAGGATCAGCCCCCCAGGACTGTGCAAGCCTGGGGGTGTGCGTGGAGAGGAGTGAGCCTGACCTAGTCTGGGGATGATGAGGGTTCAGGGTCAGGCTGGAGGGTGGCTGGGGCGCAGAGGATCCTAAATAACCTGAAGCCCAGCCATGCTGGTGCTGGGCTAGTGGCTCTGGGCTGGGGGCTACCCTTGCATTAGGCTTCGGTGCCTTGTGCCAGCACTAGCTGCAGTCCAGCTGCTGTCTCCCGAATCTGTCTCCCTGGATGAGAGTGATTTATATGCCCAAACTATGGCAGTTTGCAGTGAGTCCCTGTGTGTGTCCCCCATCCCAGCCGCTGGCAGTGGGGCAGGGGACCCATTTGCAGTCCCCTTTGCAAGGAGCTCCCTGTTGCTCTTCCCTGGGGAGCAGCAAGCGTGCGTATTGCCCCCTCTCTCCCCTTTGTGCACCCCATGCTGTGCCTGCCAAGAAGTTGAGTTTTCTGTGTGCAGAGGCTACCAAAACAGGTAGTCAAGAGAGGGCTCCTGTGCCGGGGCAGTGGGGACTCCCATGCGGAGTGGGGTGGGAGGTCTGCAGCTGCAGCATCCTTTGCAACCCCTCGCTGGGATGGAGAACTGGGGGAATGGTTCTTGCTGGAGGAGGAGGGGGTGCCGTTGGGAAGGGTGGCTTCTCCCCATCCTATAAAGCCTGGCACCTCCCTGGGGAGCATCAGCAGCCGATCAGGCTCTGCTGGGGGTCAGGGAAAACCCCAAACAGTGGGGCTTGGTTGCCACCTTCTGCTCTGTGTGATGGATCTGGGAGAAGGGCAGGGCTTAAGATCTCTGACCCCTTGGATGTTTCCCTGTATTAACAGCTTGTTTCCGCCTAAAACACCCCGTCTGTCACATTGCCATCTGTCCCTCCAGGCAGGGGTACGAGCAGTCATTCCTGATGATTTAAGGCTTAGCTAATGTTATAAATATTATCTAAAAGCAAGTGACAGTTCAAGGCATAATCCCAGGCTGATGTGTAGCTAGGTGGCCCATCTGAATACAAGAAAAGCAGGAGATTCGGACCTGTGATGCAGTTATTTGGTTGTGCTGCCAGTATTTAGATTGAGACCTGCTGTGTGCATCCATCTGGAGCCTGTGAGAGGCGGTGGGTCCCACAGGGAGCAAAAGTTCAGCCTGGATTTTTAAGGGGAGTAAGGCATGGGCTTGCTTTTTGGCAGCAGGAGAGGAAAGGTATTTCGGGGGCTGAACACACCCCAAGGGAAACACATGTGGTGAGCCACCAGCGTGGGCTCTAAAATACCCATTACCAGGCAGGAGCCCCTTCCCCGAGCTGCAGATATCGGGAAGCTCATGGGGCTTTTAAAGCCGGGGGGGGGGAGGCAGAAAGGGGCTGCGTGGTTCCCTCCGTGCCAGGAGAGAAACCCTGGTAAACGTGAGTGTTGGGAGACTGAGCAGGGGCT